GCGCGGGGGATAGAACCAGATGTTATCTCAACTAGTGGTGACATCTGCAGCTATTGATTGCAATTGAGTGTGGTGTTGGATGCATGTTTAGCATTCATAGTGGGCTACACTATTGAGCAGCCCAAGTACATGTGACTCGTGGTGTTCGTATGTAAGATCACAGAAATAGAACATGTCAGCACTTTGATTGCATCAACAATAAGAGCACTGCATTAACAGCTTGACGAATCCAGATGATTATAATGATTTGTATGTTACAATGTACAACATTAATGTGTGATTGAACATCCTCATTAGTATGTTTATGTTCTTGTACACTTGCTTTTAACTCATGAGTTGTTGTTTTCTTACTGTGCGTGTTTGTTACTGTTCCGGGTCTAGCAGGATGAGTGCCTAATGCTCACTTCTTTATGAAAATACATGCTTTTTATTCTTCTATAGCACATCACAAAAGGCAATTGTATTTCTCGCTGTTATAAGTGTTGTATATCCCTGCAAAAATCCCAATAAACAAAGTGTTAAAAATATATATATGTGTGTGTTGTGGAGACTAGGTTAACTAGTAATAATGAGTAAATCTAATGTCTATATGTTATTGTTTTCCAGTTAATAAGCTCTATGAGCTCAATAGCAGAACACTGTTTGCCCTCCCTACTGCGCACACTGTTCGACTGGTACCGGCGGCAGAGTGGCACTGAAGACGAGTCTTATGAGTACACGCCCGCTCCAGTACTAAGTCCAAAGGGTGAGCTCCTCCATCTTCTTTTTCCTTCATATTCGTCTTCTTCTTTCCTCGTGAACAAATCGTGTATAAGTGATTACAATTTTTTGTCATTTTTTGGATGTACTTTGCTCAAAACCTTCTTGTTTACAAAGAATTTCTCCCTCCACTTTGTAGAGACGAACAGCACCGGGATAAAGATTACCTTCTGGAACGGAGGGACTTAGCCATAGATTTCATTTTTTGTTTAGTTTCCGTGGAAGTTCTAAAACAGGTAAGCTTTCTGACAATGAGCTTTTGTATACTGATTTACAACTCCTATAAAAAGTATTTGACAGTTTGGGTGGCTGGATGTTTACATAGAAAAGGGGAAATGCACTGCACCTGATTGACCGAATACTAATATTATCTTAATCAAGCACAGAGGAAGTGGTTTTGAGTGTGATTAATTCTGCTACGGTGTTATGTCGACTAGGTCTTACATTTCTACCTGGTCTGTGTTAGTGTTGATGTGAAAGTGTTTCTTTAGTTACTGCTGATGTGGTATCTGATGTAGACCAATAGTCATGTACTCAATCAGAAATAGCATTGTAATAGCTTTACCTTTTCACTTGCTAAACAGATGCAGGATTTCTCACTATATGTACTGATGCACTATATGAAATTATAAATATGAAATTTCTGTACTTTTTTATTTCTGCAAATCACTACTGAGACTATGAAAGATAAGAATATTGTTTAATAGGTTTGTACCTTTGTGTTTACTTATGGTCTGTGGTACAGAAATGAACTGCAGTGGTGTTACTGAGGTCTTTCGCCACAGGAGGGTCACAGTAAATAAACACAATGGCAACAGACCAACTCTCAACTGAGTGTGTTTCTAAAGTGGACTGTCCAAATCTAAGCAACATTCTGAACTAAAAGCCAATCCCTGGACACCAGGGCTAAATTGTCCTTGGCGGTGGTCCTGTAGGGAGGGCAATGAATGGTAGCAAAGTGAAAGAATGAAGACTTATCAATGCTTCTAATAAGACCAATGATTCCATGTTTCCGTCACAGATTCCTCTTCATCCAGTGCCAGATGTTTTAGTACATGAAGTTCTAAACCTGGCATTCAAGCACTTTAAACACAAAGAGGGGTAAGTAAGCGTCAACAAACAAATAAGGCAGTGACACAGATGAATAATGCATACATAATGCTGATAAATATACACTTTACTGTGGTGCTCTCACTTTTGGGTTTTGCTTTGCAGTATGGTGTCAGTCATTTCTTTATTTATGCCTCTTTGTATATACTGGTTCTACGAATTATTGTGTCACTTTATAAACTGTCTGTCATTAATGAAAAAAGCCTCAAGTAAGCACACTTATAAAGTTCTTCTGTTTTTTTTTATGTCAGTCATATAGCACAATGTCTTCCACAAAATGATTTCTATTTGTTTAAGACTTGATGACATATGCTTCAATTGATAGGTACTGTGGCCCCAACACTGGCAATGTGCACATCATCGCAGACTTGTATGCTGAGGTTATTGGAGTCCTTACACAGTCAAAGTAAGCAACCTTAATTCTGCCTGTTACCTGAATACCGGCTAAATAACTTCTTACATTCTTAGGCATCTCTATCATCATAATTTTTTTGCGGCGTGAATATGTATATATCTTTTGTGTGTGTGTTTGCTTGTGCGCTCAGGTTTCAGGCAGTGAGGAAGAAGTTCATCACAGAACTGAAGGAGCTCAGGCAAAAAGAGCAGAGTCCCTATGTAGTCCAGAGTATCATCAGTCTCATCATGGGCATGAAGTTCTTCCGGGTCAAAATGTATCCAGTGGAGGATTTTGAGGCTTCTTTTCAGTTCATGCAGGTAAATTAAGTCGTTTATTTATGCACGTTTGCCACAGTGTAGCTACAGTCAGTGTGGCTGATATGTGTGTTTGCTAAATTGCACCAGGCATTTTGTTTTACCGTCGACCCTTTGTTCAAACTCAGCAGCTCTCCGTGGCAATGGCTTATAAAGCCAGATGAGTAACGATCAAAGGTGAGGTTTGCCAAGAAGCGAGTGTGCTGGAGACTTGAGAGCTGTGAATGGAGCAGTGGCTTTTTCATTAATCTTTATACAGCAGTTAAAAGATTACTGTATTTCCTAATGTGCTAATGGAACATACTATGGTTTATGTCCACCACTGGTTCAGTACATATCATGGTTTCTACCCATATGATGATCTTTAAGAACCTGACCATATTTCCTTTTTGTATTGATATTTCAGAAACTCGTTTACATTTAAGTTAATCTCCTATTAAAGTCAATAATATAATTAAAACAGTGTTTCCTGGCCTCACTGGTCAGCGTGTAAGGGAAAAATAAGCTAGATTTCAACCAGACGTTGTATGGTTGTTTTCTTATAATGTGAACAGCAGGCTTTGGTTCTGCATTATCATATCATCATCATAATATCATAATGCTGTCTATCACAGATTGGTCATTATTTTCAATGTGCATTTTAGTTTAAATTTAGTCATTAGCTTGTACGTATATTTGGCTGATTCACAAACATAGGCACCATTTGCTTTGTATCTGTTTATGTATGTATCCTCTGTGTATTTTTCATATGTGCGCCTTTTGTTGTCCTTTGCTAGGAGTGTGCCCAGTATTTCCTGGAAGTCAAGGATAAGGACATAAAGCACGCTCTAGCTGGCCTTTTTGTCGAGATCCTCATCCCTGTTGCAGCTGTGAGTAACATTTAAAACCATTTCCATGGTCTCACTCTCATGAAGGAATCTTTATGTAATGATTGTCAATCTACACTAATGACTTGTTCATCCTCAGGCGGTGAAAAATGAAGTCAATGTGCCCTGCCTGAAGAACTTTGTGGAGATGCTATACCAAACAACATTTGACCTTAGTTCCAGAAAGAAGCATTCTTTGGTAATAATTATGCCATCCTAGTTGTTTCTCTCTTCCTCCCCACCCCTATCACTATGTACTGTACTATGTGTATCTTTACTGCTTCCTTCTCCTATTGCGTTTTACTCTTGCTGTATTTTGTCAACATTTCTATTTGCCTCAGCACACCCAGTCCGTCATTATCATCCAGAAATGTTTGACTTTGAACCTCACTGTTGGTCCATTATGTACTCCAGAATTTGTATCTAATATTAAGTTATTTTTATGTATGCTTCCATCCGTAGTAGTTTGTAATATATCTGGGATCCTGATGTCGTAAAAGAGACCTTAGCTTGTGAGACTGTTGTTGCTCTTGGTCTTTTTATAGTGTGGCTTTTGCACAAATGTTTTTGCTGAATTACAAAATGTGCATACAAATAAATTAGACTTTGTCAGCTTAAAAAAACGCAAAGTAATAAGTTGTTTGCCAACACAGTTCTATCTCTTTCCCCAGGCTCTGTATCCACTGGTGACATGCTTGCTGTGTGTTAGTCAGAAGCAGTTCTTCCTCAACAACTGGCACATCTTCCTCCAGAACTGCCTCTCTCACCTGAAGGTACTGTCTGTGTGAGCCTTTACAACCCATCCAATTCAGAAAAGTTTGTGCTCTTGTGCTTTAGTAGCACAATCACTGTATTCTTCAGATGAAAGTATTTTTAGGGCACCATACTTGGCTTGATAAGCCAGCTTAAACCTCAGAAGTCTTATGACTCGTGTTATGAAACCTAAAATTAAATTTTGGTGGCAGTATAAAGTGACATGAGTGCCCTTAAGTTCAAGCTCATAACTGCTCTTTTTGTCATGAGACATTACATTGTGAAGGAATCAACATTTATTACTGTTTAAAAATGTTAAATGTAAATTTATGCTGGGGCTCTATTGTTTGTATGTGATGTAATACCACCGAAGAAGAAGCTGGTTGTGAAGGGTGTGCTTTGTGGTTCTGTCTGAAGATCATATTGTACTTTCCCCTCCATTATCAACAACCAGATCTGGACAGGAATAGCACTTGATTTTATAATAGTGGCTTTGTTTTTTAAAAAGCTATAATTTATGCTCCAAATGGACAAAATACTACCGTGAAATGAAAAGTTATTAGGTGTCACTAATAATGTAACCACAACTGATTTCACAGACAATGAAATAAACCTATGTGTAGCATCTTTAAACTCCAACTGCATATTATATACTATCTCAAGTGCTGTTTTAACTCAGGTCTGTTAATGATTCCTTGTAAACCAATTACAAACAGATCAAACCTACTTTCCTCCTGTCCCTGATCATCATGGAGCCAATTCAACTCAGAAGCTCATTGACCAAATTACTGACTGACTGACTGACTCAATGACTGTCTTTTCCATTCTACATTGATTTTCCTCTGGGGAGATTGTATGATCTTGTGGCGGATAGACTTCTGTTTGCGTCTTTGTGATGGTGATTTCTGATGGTTTTGAATGGCCGTCTGTCTTCTCAGTGAAATCATTCCAGCATTCTCTTTCACCATTGTAATTGTTTTAGATTTCCTTGATTTGAAAATCATAATCAGTCAGTCAGAGTGGCAACGCTGATTCTTTGAGATCATTTTACGGGGTTTGTGTGATGGCTCAAGTGTAGTGATGATTTTAGTGATTTAGGGCTTCTTGTCCAACCAGTGATTTTAACCCTGTGGCTGCTCTTAAAAATGCTCAAAGACCAATAAATTACTTAAAATAGCTGAAGTCTTTTAGTTTAGAGTGGAGCTTCATCTGAATGAATCACAACAAGTGTAAAAGCTTTGATAGTTGACAATTTAAAGTCTTCTTTACTATTTCCCAGAAAGCTCTGCTGTGATATATCAGCCCCTCATATGCTTTACAAATCACAACCTTTGAATACCCAGTATGTACACATGACATAAATTAAAGTAAAGATGGAGAGTTATCCTTGTGGGAGATCAAAACAGTTTGGGGGGAAAAGGCAAGAAGCAAAGTCAAGAACTTTGATGAAGATCAAAGGCAGAATCCGTCATTTTTTTATAATGTGATTTGAAAACCAGGTTACAACAGAATAACTGGGATACATGTCCAAACAAGACTTAATCTTGTTTCTGCAACATCATTATTACATGATCTGTTTACTACTTCTTCTCAGTGCATTTGTATCCCGTATGTTATGCATGTTCTCAGATTTATTTGACTTAAACATGAACTACAGTAAAAACTAAAATATTGATATATTTTACAACCTAATTCGTCACAATCAGCAGCTCTACTTTCCATTATGATCCCCACAGGGTTAAAACAAAATAATTAGCATTTTGGGTGTGCTTGACATTGATTTGAATGGACGGCTGACATGGGTATCGTCTTTGTAGGTGAAACCGGCAATTTTGTTGTTTGCTCATCATTTTCCATTCACATCTTTAAATGTCCTTTTCCTCATCTTTCTGTGTTCACCTTAATTCCACGCCTCTGTTTATGTGTACTTTCTCTGTCCCACTGTCTGATTTCCAGACCACAGCACACCTTATTTTGCTTTGCTTTTTTGCACTTCTAAATTAAGATTTAGCTCACTCTATGTTGAAATATATAACACCATATCAAATACAAATGGACTGTTATTTTGTATTACTAGCATGCCACTAATAATTCCACTAATGAATCCACAAGTGGCATGTTAAACAGTTCATTGTGTTTGAATAGTGTGGATTTATGTACTGGCACACTAACAGGAGTAAAGATACTTTGGACTGCTCTTGTCATATTTGTTTAGGTTATGTTTTTGTTTTTGCCTTTAACTTGCATGTGTCCCTCCCCAAACCCTACATTCTTTGTCTCCTGTCATTTGATCTTTTTCTCACACTGACTCGCTCCAGATGCCGTCTAACAACAGCATCCGAAAGCAGATTGAGACGCTGCAGGTGAGTTATCTGGCGTCAGTGACCTGCCTGGTGCTCCCATTCCTTTTAATGGTCCAGGTCCTGACCAGGACGTAGGGTGGTACAATTCTGCGTGCTTGGCTGATGGGGTAGAGAGTCGTTCTCTGTAATGACATTGAAGTGTTCCTTTATTAAAGTAGAGAAGAGGAATATGTGATGTTGCCTTTGCGTTTGTTGTTGAGCTGGTTTGTGTTCATGGTGATTAGATTTTTACTGTAGATACGTGTTTTTGTAAAAAAGGGATGCATAATATAACAGTCAACTTATTGGACAATAGTTGATTTAAAATGTGTTGTCTATCTTTCTGAGGTGGACTGATAGCAAAATGATCTCCATGATATCAAGCATATTTGATATGCAGATTGACTGTAATTACAAGTGCACATGAACCCTGCAATGTTACAGATATCTAAATGGGTCTGTTTTAGTCATCGGTATCCACATTAAGCAAAACAGTCAGCCATAGTAGGAAAACTATACTCACCGGGGTATTGCAATTAAATGCAACATTTTGTCAAAAATAAATAATAGTAACTACAAATGCGATATTGATTTTCAAATTTTCAATATTGTGAATCTCTAGTATTTATGACCAGAGGGTCAGAGAAAGTCTGAAGCATGAATAGATAAGGTTATTTGTCCTATTGTGGAATTTTGTGTTTTTGCAGTGCTACATTTAGTTGGTAATAGGCCGACTGGCAGCAGCCTCATTCTGCTCTTTTTTTCTTGTTACCTTTCACATTGGCTGTTGACTTAGGGCTGATTGTGGTTTTTATTAAAACGTTAAGTGATGATGATGTATGACAGACATCCTCAGTGAACAAAGCACTGAGGTGAGAAGTGGATTTATTTTTTATTTTTTTTCAGGTTAAAAAATCTTGCTTTGTTATGCAGTGGGGTCTCTCAATCACCTGCTGCAATTAAAATGATTACTGCAGACCCGAGTAACCAGGTTAAAGAACGAGCAACCCTGGTTGACAATGGAGACTACATTTGTTTGTGCTCAGTGATCTATTATTCTATGTCGCTGTGATTTGTGTAGTTGCAGACGGAAAGATTAGACATAGGTCTACAATGCAGTAAAAAAAAAAAATGGCTGGAGTGTGGTTTGCAATCCAGCACAGCACTTTTATTTAAAATGTCAATTCAACAAAATCACAAACAAAAAAAAAAAATAAAATAATTACTGATTTTATTTGGTTTTATTTATTACAGTCTTAAGATATCTGCTTCTGACATATCAGCCCCCTGCTATCTGTTTTTACTTCATAGCAGTACTGTGTGCCACCCCAGTAAGAGATATCTGTGCTAATCTTGGGGAAAGGCCAGGAAATGATGGTCTGTCTTGAAACTGTGCCACTTCACAATGAATTACCACATTGACAGAAAGATTTTTGAAACGCTTTTCAAATTTACTCCACATCAAAATTTTGTTGGTTAATCTGTTATATAAATATAAATATTAAGAGACAGGAATGGTAAAAGGGAGATGCAGTGACAGTGAAGTGGTTGGATAGAAAGGTGGCGGTTTGCCTGGGAAATGACAAACCTCCATCATGTCAATAAGGTAAAACTGGCCTATGGAAATCCTTGCACCATGCCCATGTCACATGCTCTGAGCATGGTTGCTCTCAGCATGAGCCTGTATGTCAACAATATAAATATTTGTCATTGCAGGTAATTTGGTTGGTCAGTCTGAAAAATTCCTGAAATATTGACCTGATGTATTTCATTCCAGGACGCAGTTATTTCATATTGTTAAATTCAGCAGTACAGTTGTTCTTCTGGTTGACAATGAGCCATACTCAGCACTTAAAAATTCTTGAAGCTTGAAGCTTAGCAATCAGCAGACCATGTGGACTGTTCCTCTGTGAGTGATAAATTGTTCTATCATTAGTTTCACATGTAGTTGCCTGGTTTTGTGTTTGATCTGAGTTTATCAAGAAAACAACAACAACCTGATATCACAAATCTCACAGGTGGGTAATGAAATTGCCTTGATTCATTTGGATGGTCATTTTATTCTTTTTACTTCCACAGAACAAAGACCCCAAAATGTCACGTGTGGCACTGGAATCGCTCTACAGACTGCTCTGGGTTTACATTATCAGGATCAAGTGTGAGAGTAATACTGTCACACAGAGGTCAGTTCCAGGGAAATCATACACACACAGTCAATTCCTTTGTAATCAATGGCTATCAAGTAGAAATTGTTTTGGCCTTTGTTGTTCAGCAATAAATAAACTTAAAACTTTTTCCCAACTAGTCGACTACTCAGCATCGTTTCAGCACTTTTCCCAAAAGGCTCCAGGAGTGTGGTGCCCAGGGACACACCCCTTAACATCTTTGTCAAGATCATCCAGTTCATAGCTCAGGTAAGCTTGGAGCATGAATTCACATACCTGGATCTCACTTTAGTTAAACCTAAGGATTCATCATGTAGTACCTGTGTGTAAGTGATTGCTGGTCTGTTGGTTGTTACAGGAAAGACTGGACTTTGCTATGAAGGAGATAATCTATGACCTCCTGTGTGTGGGCAAGTCTCACAAAACCTTTGCCATCAATCCAGAGGTAAAGTACACTTCACGTTCTGACATCGTTAGAGTTTTGCTGGATTCTCTCTCTTCCATGTCATATGTCTCATCCTCTCCCCCTGTTCGTTCTGCCAGAGGATGAATATTGGGTTGCGAGCCTTCTTGGTGATTGCTGACAGCCTACAGCAGAAGGATGGGGAGCCTCCTATGCCTACGACAGGGATCATCATGCCCTCTGGCAACACCCTGCGTGTCAAGAAGATCTTCCTCAACACCACCCTCACTGATGAAGAAGCCAAGGTCATAGGTAGGTTGGGTCCTTCAAACTAAACTTTGGGGGGAAAAAAGTATATAATATTTGTTTTGTTGTTTTTTCCTGAGTGTAAGGACTCTGCTGTGTGTTTTCAGGCATGTCACTGTACTACCCACAAGTAAGAAAGGCCTTGGATAACATCCTGCGACACCTGGACAAGGAGGTGGGACGCTCCATGAGTATGACCAGTGTACAGATGTCCAACAAGGAGCCTGAGGACATGATTACGTACGTAACCACATCCTGGATTAATGTAGTTACTTTTGTGTTACTGTCCGTGGCTCTGTTTTTCTGACTTGTAGCAGGTTCTCATAAGCTGTTTGTGCCACAGGGGAGAGAGGAAGCCAAAGATTGATCTGTTCCGTACGTGTGTGGCCGCCATCCCAAGACTGATACCAGATGGCATGAGCAGACAAGACCTAATAGAGCTTCTAGCCAAGTAATTCACCCTCCTCTACACCTACTGCAGACACATCACTACATAATCTACTGTAGCTCAGATGGCCTTTCACACGTCTTTTAATGTCTTTCTGCCTGTTGGCTCTCTCCCTCGCTAGACTGACCATCCACATGGATGAGGAGCTACGTGGCCTCGCCTTCACTACCCTTCAGGCCCCGATGGTGTATTTCCCGGAGTGGCGGGAGGATGTTCTCTCAGGTTTTGTCTATTTCATTGTCCGAGAGGTGACTGACGTCCACCCCACACTGCTGGACAATGCTGTCAAGATGCTACTGCAGCTCATCAGCCAATGGAGGCAGGCAGTGCAGAGCAGCAATAAGAGCCACGATGTGCAGGTTGGTCAAAGAAGTTTCAGCTGTAATAAGTTAATTCTAGTGAATGTTTGTGTGTGTGTGTGTGTGTGTGTGTGTGTGTTATGTGTGTATTGAATTTGTGTTCTTGGTTTGTGATTTGTGTAGTGACAAATGTGAGAATGATTTTAATTCCAAGTTCTTTTAAACAGGGCTCAAGCAGCGGTCATTCTCTGTCCCTGGACCGCACTCCTCCGTTGGGTGTGCTCCATGTGGTAGAGGGTTTAGCACTGGTGGTGCTTTGTAGCTGCCGCCCTGCCACACGCAGGCTGGCTGTTAATGTCCTCAAAGAGGTCAGAGCGCTGCATACTGCACTGGGCATTGGCAAGGTAATTCCTTTGGACTTGTATTTTGTTGTGACTGACAGTCAAATATGCACAAGTCTGCAGAGACTTTATTTGTTACAAGTACTTTTTCTGACATGTGTTCTATCTCCCTCAATCTCTCAGGGGGATGAGGAATTAGCCATTGATGTAATGGACAGATTAAGCGCATCAGTGTTGGAGAGCTTTATTCATCTCACAGGAGCTGACCAGGTATGAATGCCTTTTCTTATTTACAGAATCATAAAACTTACATACTCTGAGACTCAACTCATCTCTCTCTCTTTTTCTCTGTAGACAAACCTGCTGTACTGTCCCAGTGGCATTGATCTTCAGACGCTAGCAGAGTGGAGCTCTTCTCCCATCAGCCACCAGTTTGATGTGGTGAGCCCCTCGCACATCTGGGTGTTTGCCCACGTTACTCAGGGCCAGGACCCCTGGGTCATCAGCTTCTCCAGCTACCTGCGGCAGGAAAACCTGCCCAAACATTGCCCCACTGCCCTCAACTATGCCTGGATGTTTGCCTATACCCGTCTGCAGCTACTCTCTCCACAAGTTGACATCAAGTATGTTTCCCCAAGCCTCTCTTGTCTGTGTGTTCTGTCTGTTTGTACATCAGTGTAATCGATGTGTGTGTTTCTGTCATTGTGGGGTGTTTTTAAAAGACTGTCTTTGAAAAGGCCAGGTGATGGTGTCGTGATGACATCATGTGCTAGGATTGTGGACTAAACCAAATAATACTATCTTAATGAGCTTGACAAGATAAATAAATGGCAAAGACTGTTAAAGCATGTGAGGTCTTCATGTAAGCAAGCAGAAGGCTGCTATTTGGGCCTACATTTTGGTGTTGTCCTGACCTTTTGATGTCATGTCATTAATGACCTCTGACCTCTCCTGTGTGTCCACTTGCAGTAGCCCCATCAATGCCAAGAAAGTGAACAGTCTGAACAGCAGTGACTCCTACATTGGTCTTTGGAGGAACTACCTGATTCTGTGCTGCAGCTCCGCCTCCTCCTCCACCTCCATGTGTTCCTCATCCTCCACCTCTGGCTCCGTCCGCTGCTCCCCGCCTGAGACGCTGGCGTCCACACCGGACAGCGGCTACAGTTATGATTCAAAGGTCAGGAGGACCTGCTTATACAACACTCTATGCACACACATTTACAAGATCTTGAATATACAAAAAACATATTGATCATTTTCTGATTTTTAACATTTGGAAGGGAAAATGCAATGCAATGCAATAAAGGGACCACATAATATGGTAGCAACTAACAATTAATAGTTGGAAGATGTGATGTATTTGTATATCTCAGTCATGGCATTGCTCTTTCTGTGTCTGTTAATAGATTGTTGGCACTCCGTCCCCCTCCTCGCTGTTCAAACACATTGTTCCAATGATGCGCTCTGAGAGCATGGACATCACAGAGTCTCTTGTGTTGGGGCTTGGCAGGACCAACCCCGTGGCCTTCAGGTACACATCCCTTGACATGAGAGAGATATATATATATATATACACACACACCTGAGCATACTTTTTTATATATTATTTTGGTTATTCACATGCTACTCTCATATCCTTCAGAGAGTTGATAGAGGAACTAAATCCCATCATAAAGGAAGCTCTAGAAAGAAGACCTGAAGTAAGTTGATAACTTTTGAAAAATTTCTTTCACAGTTTGTTTTCAGCAAAGGTAATTTACTGAGCTAAAATACTACTTTCTACTACTTTTTTTACTATGCAGAACATGAAGCGGCGCAGGCGTCGTGACATCCTCAGGGTCCAGCTGGTCCGGATATTTGAGCTGCTGGCTGATGCTGGTGTCATCAGTCAGATGTATGTAATAGACAACAAATAGGGACAAACACATTGGCATTTTCGTATATCTGGTTTCTAAAGATAAAAATTGTTTTCTTTTTACAGAGCCAGTGGAGGATTAGATGGAGAGAGCCACTCTCTGAACAGTGCACTGCTTGAGTATGTTGATCTGACCAGGCAGTTGCTTGAGGCTGAAAATGACAAGGACTCTGACACACTGAAGGACATTCGCTGTCACTTCAGTGCACTTGTGGCCAATATCATTCAGAATGTCCCAGGTATATCTCTTAATTTCCCCATTTCATTCAGTTAAAAACTGTTTATCTGCAGTGAATGTCTGTCAAAAGTTAGAGTAATAAAAATGTAAGTGCTTTATGTATTTATTTCATTACTTGTTGTATTCAGTACACCAGAGGAGGACCATCTTCCCCCAGCAGTCACTGAGACACAGTCTGTTCATGCTGTTCAGTCACTGGGCCGGACCCTTCAGCATCATGTTCACTCCCTTGGACCGCTACAGTGACAGAAATATGCAGATCAACCGGCATCAGTACTGTGCACTTAAGGTAAATATATAAATGTTGAAATCTAATTTCTGCCTACAATATAATCCAGGCTTGCTGATAACCAACTGTTTTTTTTTTTTATGTTCCAGGCCATGTCTGCAGTGTTGTGTTGTGGACCTGTAGCTGACAATGTTGGCCTTTCCTCTGATGGCTACCTCTACAAGTGGCTGGACAACATCCTGGATTCTCAGGACAAGAAGGTAAGAGAAATGTTACTATTTCAGCCCACTTATACTATCACTAAAATTGTCTTTAGTAGTCTGTTCAGGGCATGTGTATGAGTGCTGGATATTAGGTTGAGGTAGGATTGTGCATCACCAAGGAAGAGTCTTGAATGCTCATCCAAATATATAGTATAAAAGAGGAAGGTAGACTGTCCAAACACAAATGGCAAAGTGCTGACTTTTTTTCTAATATATCAGCTTACATGCAAAGGCAGCTCTTCCTTTGCCTCATCAAAGTATACAAAACCTCTTACACGGTCATGAAATATATTCCATACCAGTGGTCTCAATGGATGAACGTAATGGTGGCAATAAACACACGTGTATATTTATAATGCCTCTAGTGATAAGGATCATACAGGAGTGATTGGTTCGGTCTGGCTGTACTGAGACTTCCTGAGGTCAAAGTTGTGCAGCCCAGGTTCACATACCATGACAGTAGCGCTACACAGTGGTGTTCAGAAGTACTACAAGTAAGGGTGATCTGATCAGGGTTTTTGAGGTTGATCGCAATCACCGATCAACAGGAGCAGTATAGGCTGATCACCCATCACTGAGTCTATTGAAAGCCTTATGTTTATAGTGTAGCCTTATTCATTATGATTTACTATTCTAGTACAACATTGTATATTGAGTATGAAGTTATTAAATCATGGATTGACAATTGGGTATTTACTGGCAGTGACTGACACATGTTAGAGAAGAATGACAGTGGAACTGTGGAGGGTATATTTCTAGGTCTATACGTCATTTCTTATTTCACCATTTAAATTCTACTTACTTATCCACCTTATTTTGGTGTTTACTCAAAAAATACTTTGTGCACTTGCTTTTCCTCCTCATCTTTCCCCTCACACACACATACACACGTCGCCTAAGAAACACAACTCGCCTTTTGAAAACAAAACTGTTGATTTACCTGCTCCGTTTGTAAAATATCCACCAGATAACATCCCTCTGTTTCTCTGCAAAATGCTAAAACGAGTCACTGACCAACTATACCGACTGCCGCCCAAGTAAATCTATGTGTGTCAAAGACTGAATGTTCAACGTGTTAAAATGAGCAGGGTTGTGAGGTGACTGTTGGAAGAAGTGAACCCATGGTTCTGACAGCTCTGTGGTCTCTTCTAGGTTCACCAGCTGGGTTGTGAGGCTGTGATGCTGCTGCTAGAGCTCAATCCAGACCAGAGCAACCTCATGTTTTGGGCTGTGGATCGCTGCTACACCGGCTCTCGCCGTGTGGCTGCTGGTTGTTTCAGGGCCATTGCCAATGTCTTTCACAACAGGTACTACACATTCCCAGCTTCGACTTGAACACATTAGTGTGGGTTTGTTTGTCCCATTGGAACCAGAGAACTGCTAATCAAAATGCTGCTTGTGTTTTTATATCTTCTCTTAGGGATTACCAATTTGACACTGTGGTGCTGCTGAACCTTATTCTGTTCAAGGCGGCAGATTCTTCCAGGGAGATCTATGAGGTGGCCATGCAGCTGTTACAGGTCTGAATATCTGTTTTCCTAAAGTCCACTTTTACACGTCTACACAACACTGCTATGTATGCTTTTATGATAAATAAATTATGTTGTGATTGTTTGTCTGTGTGAAACTAATAGATCCTGGAACCCAAGCTCTTCCGTTATGCCCACAAATTGGAGATCCTGCGAACAGATGGTATCTTGACCCCTCCCTCACCGCTGCCACATCTCTACTCTGTGTCTTACTACCAGCTGTCTGAGGAGCTGGCAAGGACTTACCCAGAGCTCACGCTACCCATCTTCTCAGGTTTGCTACATTACGATTCGTTAAAGCTGTTGTTGGGGTAGCTGTAATGTGTGGAATTATTCTATTAGCCCGAAGAGGCCCGAAAAAGCTAAGTCTTTTTGCCTGTGACAGCAGGGGCCTTTTGTCTGTATGAGCAAAACACCACATGCCCGACATAGCACACATAAGCACAGCTGACCTTGCTCACATGCATTTCGTCCTCATATTTGCATTTATTCAGCCTCAGCCTTTTTTTAAAGAACAAACCAATTATTGCAATATATTTTCATAATAGTACAGATGGCAAAAGCCAGAATGAAATAGTTTTAAATCTGTGCTCTTTCCAAATATGCGTCCCTAATTTATGTGAATGTTAGGTTTGTGCTGGACAACCATTATACAACCATTTATAATGCAGATAAATTGTACATATATCCTTACTGCCAGACAGTTGTGACTCAAACATGGATATAATGTTAAAAGTTGGCGGGGCATTCCTTTTTTATGCAATGGCCAGGAATTGGCTTCAACTAACAACTACCCTCTTTCTGTCCCCACTCCAGAGGTGAGCCAGCGTATCCAGACAGCTCATCCTGGTGGTCGTCAAGTCATGTTGCACTACCTCCTGCCTTGGATGAATAACGTGGAGCTGGTTGATTTCAAACCGACTGCACGGCGACCAGAGGATTGCGGCAGTGGCGAAGAGGATGAGGATGTACACGAGAGGGAGATCATGATGGTCAACAGCCGGCGCTGGCTCCGTGGAGAGGGCTGGGGCTCCCCTCGAGCAACAACCATGGTGCTAAACAATCTCATGTTCATGACCGCTAAGGTGAGATCGCTAACACACGCTGTCATGTTTGGATTTCTGTGAACAGGATGAGTTTGGAATTGTTGATTGAGATAATTTATTGATCATTAATTGTTTGTTTTTTTACAGTATGGGGATGAGTTTGCTTGGTCAGAGATAGAGAATGTATGGACCACATTAGCAGACAGCTGGCCAAAGAACCTCAAAATCATTCTGCACTTCCTCATCAGTATGTCAGGAGTCAACAGTGACCCCAGCCTATTGCCCTATGTAAGTCACAATATTTGCATTATGCACTGTATCTGTTGTATCCCCATGTGCAGTCTCTATCAGCCAGTATCCTCATGTGTCTGACTGTGTTACATGTGTGTCCTCAGGTGAAACGGGTCGTGGTTTACTTGGGCAGAGATAAGACTATGCAGCTGCTGGAGGAGTTGATGTGTGAGCTTGAGTTGACTGATCCTGTTAGCTCAGCGGTCACTCACATGGACAACCCCCCCTATTACCGCATCACCTCCAGTTACAAGATCCCCTCAGTCACCTCAGGTTAATGAGAAGTCTGCATTCTCTAGTTCACAGCTTAGGTCATGTTTCCAATCCTAAATAATGTGTTTTCAATGCTAGATGGTCAATGTTTCATGTCTGATGTCCCAGGAACAACCTCCAGCAGCAATACCATGGTGCCCGGAAATGATGGTCATCATGATGGCAAGATCAAAGACTCTAACATGGAGGACAGGTATGGTGTGTCATCCCTCTCCCGGGATGGACAGACATGCATTAGGTGGCATGTGTACAGAATAGATCACCAAAAAGTCGTAATATATGCACATTATGTTTGAGTTGTTTGTTTGGTGTAGTAGGAGTTCAACAGGAACCAATAATAAAACCAAGGTAAAACCAATTAAAAAAGTTTAAGTTGTCGTGCTTATTGGCTGTCTTACTCTGGAATATAGTAAAAAAAAATCTGTAAATCTAATACTAAAAATCTCCTGTTTGTAAGTGTGATGTAACAGTCCACTTAATTAATTCAGATGAAACGCTCACAATTTATTTTAGAAACATTTTAGAGACTTATAGATACTTTTAATTGGAACATTTTGCTGGTGCGGTGGATTAGATTTACGTTTTTGGCCGTGGGGAAAAAAAATAATGAAATGCTGGCACTGTCTGTTTTAATCAAGTGTGTCTGTTCTGCAGTTACACCCACCTGGATATCTACAGTGGTCTGAACAGTAACCTGAACCGCCAGCACCACCGTCTGGAGTCTCGTTACAGCAGCAGCTCTGGAGGCTCCTATGAAGAGGAGAAGAGTAAGAGCAAACTCTTTGCACCACTAAAAAAACTGAACACTACTCAGAACTATTTCCCACCAACATTCCTGGTCACCTTCTCCCTTCTCCAGGTGACTCGATGCCACTTTATGCTAACTGGCGTTTGAAAGTGATGGATCACAACCGGCCAGAGCCTCTCCCCTTCCCTCCTACAGGGGGCTGTTGGTCTCCTCTTCTGGACTACCTGCCAGAGACAAATGCCCCCGCTGTCCCGCTCCACAGGTACACCATACACCTTTACTCTCCCTCTGTGTTATACTATTGTGTTCTTTGTCTAATTCAGCTCACATTTTCTGTTTTTCAGATGTAACATTGCAGTCATCTTACTAACAGACCTCATTGTGGACCACGGGGTCAAAGTGGAGTGGAGTGCCTACCTGCACCTTTTGCTCCATGCAATTTTTATTGGTAACACGCTTCTCAATTTATTAATACTTTAGATGTCTGTGCCTGAATAACTGGATACCGCGTACCAAAAAAGCCAATTCAAATGTACATAGAAAAGTACCTTGTATGAGAATGAGTTTAATTGACCTCTCGTACTTCATTACACCTCTACTTGCTAAACTCTAATATTCTCCCTCGTCTGTGTCTTCTTCCAGGGTTTGATCACCAGCACCCAGAAGTCTACGAGCACTGCAAACGTCTGCTGCTTCACCTGCTCGTTGTCCAGGGAGCAAATAGCAACGTCCAGTCTGTGGCTATGGTGCTTTTACGCAACAGAGACTACAATGAGCCGAGGGTCCTGACTGTGAAGCCAGTAGCTCCAGAGTTGAACCTCACAGGTCAGTTCTTTTAAACTGATAGGATTACCGCAAACCGAGAAAAATGAACAGAGGAAAAACTGCAGATACTCATTGTTATATTGTTATATTACCAAAGCAGATCACTGGGTGGCAGCAACGATAAAAATATTATGGAGTATTTCTTGAGATGCCTTCAAATCATGCCATACAGCTCAATGTGTTCAATGTGTACAATGTGTGTATGTCAATCGTTCCTATAGGAGTGCAGGAGTTTTTGCCGGATTGTCAGCCATCACCTATGACAGACTCAGGCCTCAGCTCGAGCTCCACGTCATCCAGTATAAGTCTGGGGACAGGGGGAACTGCTCTATCCCACCTCTCCCCCACACTCCTCAGTGAGGTAGATGTCACTGCTGAACAGGACGAGAAGGTCAAAGCTCTTATTGAGTTCATTACATCAAGGTGAGAAGACCCTGTTTTATTAAATTAATTATTTCCCAGAACAATACATTTGCAATTACCCCAGCCACTACTTGTAGTATTACAACTACTATCACTACTACCAGCTGTGGCTAACTAATTTGGCCTAATGCATAATTTCACATGCTTAGTATGCATCAGTATGAATCATATAGATGTTATCATGTTTCTCATTCTGTTCAATCATTTGCTTTCATGCTTCCAGCAGTGTCTGAGAGGACTGGGTATTTTTACATTGCATGGGTTTGATTTTGGGGTTGGTGTCATATTGACTTTTTTTACCTGGTGTGATAATATCAACCTGTTGTAACTTCATAGCTTAAACATGTTACATTTCCTGATGTGTGTTTGCTCTTGCCTTGTAGAAAGCGGGGCCCGCTCTGGAACCATGAGGATGTGTCGCCCAAGAACCCAAACATTAAGAGCGCTGACCAGCTGAGTGTTTTCGTCAGACACGTAGTGACTGTCTTCAAGCATTCCCAGTCAGGTCTGTATGAATCATAAATGTCTGTTGCCTTTATTTTTTTTGATTTGGATAGCCTCATTATATTTACCTGTATGTGTATGTGTATGTGCATCCCTTCAGGTTTCCAGCTCGAGTCATTGCTGAGTGACGTAGCCCTACAAACAGCTCTGTCTTGCTCTTCTCGACACTACGCTGGTCGCTCCTTCCAGATTTTCAGGGCACTCAAGCAACCTCTGACTCCAGCTTTACTGTCTGACATTCTCTCTCGGCTGGTAGAGACTGTAGGAGACCCAGGAGAGGAGGCTCAGGTCAGAATGTAACACAATTACATGGTCCTGCTCTGCATTGGTCTAATCACAAAACAGTATTGGTCGCTGTACTGTTCTGAAACATTAATTTAGCTACGGATGATTTTGACTTTAATCCTTACAGTATTGCTCAACCTGATGAAAAATTAGTCACAATTGCATTCAGAGCACAGTTTTTCATACTTTCTGATATAAATAGAAACATTTGTTGGTGGTTACTGCAGTTTAAAACTGACAACCATTGTAAAGATGGAAAGGGTTGAAAAATAACCCACATTCCTGTGTCTGCAAAAGATTTTACAGGAAGTAAGATGAGATAAGATGTAAGAAGTAAAATATTTTAACTCACTGCTATCTTGAGTTATCAGTTTCTCAGTCTGACCTCCTGGTGTTTTTTTCTCTTTAGGGCTTTGTCATTGAACTACTCCTGACACTGGAGTCAGGCATTGACACGCTAGCAGACACAGTCAAAAACTATGACCTCCTCACTGCCTTAGCACAGTAAGTCCTTCTGCCGATAACCTCTTTATTTCAACATGTTTGACTCATCCATACATTCAATCACATACTACCTGACATACATCTTACAAAAGTCATTTACAAAATAATTTGTTGTTTTATTTACAGAACCTCTACCCGTGATCAGTTCTTGGGGCCCAAGTTTGCTGCCAACAGGAAAAGCACAGGCCAGCTGAACACGAACAGCGGTGGTCTGTTCCATCACGCCCATACTCGCAGCAACTCTCTTCGTGCCAGCCTGATGGGTGAACGAAAAGCCGACAGACGAAGGAGTAACACCCTTGACGTAGCCGACCGACTTGGTGGTAGCCATGGAAACCTGGCCCGCACGCGGAGCTTATCATCGCTAGGTGGGGGAGGGGGTCCAGGAGGGGATGCCATCCCCCCCGTGGACCCGTCAAATCTGATGGCCACTGTGTTTTGGATAGCCGCCTCGCTGCTCGAGTCGGACTATGAGTTTGAGTATCTGCTGGCCCTGCGGCTACTTAACAAGCTGCTAGGCCAGCTGCCTCTGGATCGTCCAGACAGCAGAGAACGCCTGGAGAAGGTCCAGGCCAAGCTCAAGTGGTACAGCTTCCCTGGCCTGCTGCAGCTCTTCCTTAAGGGCTTCACCTCTGCTTCTACTCAGGAGCTCACCATCCACCTGCTTAGCAAGCTCATCAGTGTGTCCAGACATACACTGATAGACCCTTCACAAGTGGCAGGTCAGTGTGGAGGACTGAGAATGTGCATGCAACTGTTGACTTGATCATGGATTACATTTTTTTTGGTTATTTTTTTTATAAAAGATTTGTTTCCCGTTTTTAAAACAGGTTTACAACACTTACTGTTTGTATAATGTATTTGTTGCTGACTGTGCCAGACTTCACAGAAAATATCTGTGAAGTCAGCGAAACTGTTTGAAAAAGGGCCGGCACTTTTAAATAATACTCAGCAGGTGATTGGACGAACCAGCTGTCTGTCATTGCTATCACCATCTGTCACCAGCGAACTTCAACCAACCAGATCAGCTGACCATATAACATCGTCAAACTCTTATGAAGTCAGTCGGGAGAAGAGCAGAAACATCTTTTCCATCAAGAAAAGCCTTCAGTGCCGTTCTTTTCTCTTTCAATTAGGAAATACTTTCTAGTTCTGCTATAACTGATGCTACAGCCATCTATGTCTAACCGCTATTAGCACCGCCATTGTTGTTTTTCCAAGCAACAGTCACTTCTCACTCCACACTAGCATTCAGTCCAGCGTCCGTTAGCTACTTGCAATACCTGCCAGTAGTTCCTCACAGGATGCCGACTGGTCCGAACCACTGTGGTTTGGACACAAGCACATAGCATAGATAGATTCTTGCGTGATTTTGTGATCTCACAAGTCAGGCTGCCTATCGAGATTACAATACCAATGGAGTTGCACAAAAGCTTTTCTCCTTCTCCGAATGGTTCATTCATTATTAGTTGTGTTGATATCACTAATTGCTTTGGACTACTTTGCTAATCATGCAATTCTGTGTTCACCGTCTTCCTCTCTACAGGTTTTCCTTTGAATATCCTGTGCCTACTACCACATCTTATCCAGCACTTTGACAGCCCCACTCCTTTCTGTAAGGAGACAGCTGATAAGATAGCCAAGGTGTGTGCGGATGAGAAGTCAGCCACTCTCTCCAACCTGGCCCACATGATGAGCCTGTACAGCACACACAGCTATTCCCGCGACTGTACCAACTGGATTAACGTGGTCTGTCGCTATCTCCACGATGCCTTCGCTGAGATAACCTTGAACCTGGTCACTTACTTGGCTGAGGTACACAAGATGAAGATCAAGCTTGGTGCTGTTAATCACATATGGTGAGAATAAGCCAGTAATGTGTCTCTTTCTCTCTCAGCTGCTAGAGAAGGGCCTTCCCAGCATGCAGCAATCCTTGTTGCAGATCATCTACAGCCTGCTGAGTCACATTGACCTATCAGCAGCCCCTGTCAAACAGTTCAACCTGGAGATCATGAAGATCATTGGCAAATATGTTCAGGTGAGTAAATATCGATCAAATAGCTATTCTTGTTACTTATTTACTCAGTTGCTTAGTAGGTAAAGTAAATGTATGTACTTTTGTAGTTTTGTAATATTTCATTCATTTTTAAATCTACTACATTATTTTCTGCAAATAGCAGTGCCAGGAATCTAAGCCTAGTTCTCTGCTGTGGCAGGCAAAAACTTTACCCATGTTTGCCATATGTTTAATAATAGCTGTTTTTTTTTACTGGGCACAGCCTATTTTTACATGCAGCTTGGTGTATGTGAATACTGGGATGATCAAATAGGAGCACAATTGAGAATAAGAAAGAATAACATATCTTACAGGCTCTTTGTCTAGGGGCCTTTTTGATGCAGCTAGAGCTCTTTATGGAAGCCTTTTACTAGACCTGACCCAGGGCACTGTATGCTTCTGAATCACAACTTCATCTGACAGTTATAACATTATTCCCTTAGGCCGATTCTGTACTGGCTTACAGTACAGTGATGCCTTTGGTAGAAGGTATTGTGTTTGTGCGTGTACAGTATACTCTTGCATTGTTGTATTTGTTTGGCATCCTTTCAAGGTTCCCTGACATTAACACAGGCCATACATTGTAGAAAATGGTACAGAATACAAATGGCTTCAGAGATTGAGTCTATAGCTGCTGTGGATAGGGTATGCTTTGGCCTTCTGAGGGAAATAAGTCAATTCATATTCATGCATTCTCCATAAACACCCACACAGCCTGATGTTTCACAATGGAATCATTATATTTCAGTGTTTGTTTGTTTTTTTGTTTTTTACAGAGCCCACACTGGAAGGAGGCCCAAAACATTCTTAAGTTGGTGGTGTCTCGCTCAGCCAGCCTTGTCGTCCCAGACGATGTGCAGCGCTCGTATAGCACAGAATCATGCAGCTCTCCAGAAATTGCCTTCACACGCATATTCAACAACTCTTCGAAGGAGCTGCCTGGCAAAACTCTGGACTTCCACTTTGACATCTCGGAGGTCAGTGTCCTCCCACTCCAGTTTTTACAATTTACTTCAGTGTTTTCACTTGTTGTATTTTATTGCTAACTGGCATTATTTTACTCTATAGACACCAATTATAGGGCATAAATATGGTGACCAGCGTACTGCAGCAGGCCGCAATGGAAAGCCGCAGGTGATTGCCGTAACTAGGAGTACCTCCTCCACATCATCCGGCTCTAACTCTAATGGTTTGGTGCCAGTGAGCTGGAAGAGACCACAACTCTCTCAGGTACCTGCTCAAACAGACACACCACATCCAGCACTACTGTATGTACTAAACCAGGTAGCAGTAAATGGGTTTTCAACCAAATGTAGCACAACCCCCACCATTTTTGTCTCTCTAGTGGAGCAGTGCTAGCAGCGATGAATGGGCCCTCACACTCCATGCACGTCAGGGTGTGCTGTGGCTGCATCATGCTTCAGCGCATCATAGATTTGAGATATGGGTCCAAGAGGCTTTTTTGTACATCTGGACATGATCTACATGTGTACCAATTTTCATATATATCGGTGAAACATGCCACAGGGGCTTCAGTTTAGGGCCACCTTAGGGACCATTTT